AACACCCTCTTCTGGCCTCCTCGGGCATTGCATGACACATATATAGTATATATGTATAGATATTCAGGCAAAGTACTTATAATTTTTTGGATCTTTTTGAGAGAGGGTCTCCCTATAGCCCCAGCTGGCCTGGAACTCACTATGGTGACCAAGTTGGCCTTGAACTCACAGAGCTCTACCTGCCACTGCCTCCTGAGTGCTGGGATTAAAGGAATGTGCCACCTGTCCCAGCCTAAACATAAAGTTGTTTTTTTTTTTTTAAAAAAAAAAAAAAGAACAAAGATGAACACAACTAAGACTTCACTAAAAATCATCTGGAAATCTGAGGCCTGGATGGAGGCTGACTTGGGATCCCTCGCCTTACAGGGACATGGCCAAGTCCATAAGAGACTCCATGTCTTCCTAAAGGTCCCTGAAAGTCCTTGCTGACTGAGACTCTGTGGATTAGAACCCAGACAGTGCTGTGTCCTGTCCTCAGCCTCAAGCCATGTCTAAGCTTGTCTCTTCCAGACCCCAAGGCTGGCAGGCCAGGAGGGGCTGAAGTCAAAACTGGTGTCCCTAGGGATCTAGAATGTAGAATCGGGGTGGGCCAGGTAAGGTGGGAGTGGGGCTGGAGGTCAATTTCGGCGGGACCAAGCCTGGGGAACAGCTGCAAGGACCCCATCCAATTATGCAGGATGGACTTAGGCACAGCAGGGCCTCTGGGGTCAGTACTGCTGAACCATAGTATTTGGAGAGCCTTGTCTGCCCAAGAACACTCCCGACAAATAGACTGATGTGCAGAGCCACAGGACATCAAGCATGGGTAAGGCTGGCTTCAGCTCCACAATGGGTTGTCCTCTAGAGTGCTGAATGCTCTGGACCTGGACAAAGGTGGTGTATACACTGGAAGTCCAGGATTCATGCAGCTGTGCGCTTTAAATGGCAGACAGTGTGTTGTGATGTGTGTTAGTTTAGAATGTAGCCTAAGAGAAAAATGGAGCCCAGTTTGCCCCTTCCATTAGCAGCCACCCACCAAACACCTCCAAAAGGGCTTACGCCAACCCCCTCAGCTTGACGTCTAGGACTCAGGGAAACTGGTTGCTTATAAATACTGCTAGGGGCTGGGATTGTGTCTGTCCAGGGCGCATGGTGAGATCCTCAGGGAAGCCTCCTTGAATGTTTGTTTCATAGTATGACATTGCTGTCCAGGAATATTTGCTTATCTTCTGTTAGACAGTAAAGAGGGTAAGATTATCCCATTTTGCTAACTTCAGTAGGTAGAGAAGGAAGATATTGTTTTCTGGCCTGTCTCACCAGCACGACACGCTTTGTGAACTCAGAGCACATAGGGAGTGGGTGCAGCCTCTGGTATGAGACCAACCCTTTCATAGATGGCAGCAATAACTCAGTCCAGAACACTCTTTGAAGTAGTGGAGAGGAGGTGGAGAGGAGGGAGACACCTGTGAACAAAGGGAACCACATTGGGGTTTTGTGGTTTGTTTCTTGAAGACAGGGCAGCTGCCAGGTGGATAGAGACCCAGGGTCATACTGGTGGAGGCCTCTGGTGGTCGCAGCAGCTGAAGGTGAGGGGGAGTCAGGGAATTGGGGGGACATATGCAAAAGAGAAGCTTAAAATTCTGCACATGAACTCTGCCAGAATATCTGGTAATTTTTAAAAAAAATATTTATCTAGTTATGAGTTTTTATTTGTGTATGTTTTGCCTGCATGTATCTAAGTGCACCATGCATGCAATGCCCATGCAGATCAGAAGAGGGAATCAGATCCCCTAGAAGTAGAGTTTTGGATGGCTGTTATCTGCCATGTAGGCTCTGGGAACTGAACCCAGGTCCTCTGCAAGAGCAACCAGTGCTCTTAACCACTGAGCCATCTCACCAGTCTTTATCTGGTGACTTCTGAACTTAGTTTACTGCCTATGTCACACACACAAGGGCAGACTTGGGCTGGTCTAGGCCCTTTTGGTGAGACAAACACTGTTCTTAGAAGCAACAGAATTCAGTCCATCCACAGCACACTATCCAGTGTTTAGAACTCATACACAAAGAAGCAGGGGGCATGACCTACAATGAGAACAGGCTGAGCAGAAGCCATTAGGTTGGCCGGCTGCCGAGACTCCTGCAGCAGCTGCTCTGCTCAAGGAAGGACCTGAGTGGAGGCAGGAAAGGGAGGGAGGGAGGGTGTACTTGTCTGGTTTTACACTCTTTCCAGCTTTACACGCCTTGCTTCCTTTACCTGGCTTTGCTTTTCACAGCTAGCCTAACCCATCTGGAGTCTGCTTTTGTTTTTGTTTTTGGGGTACAAGGTCTCCCTGTAGCTCTAGGTGGCCTGAAGTCCTATGTAGACCAGGCTGGCCTCGATCTCACAGAAATCTGCCTAGGGGCTGGAGAGATGGCTCAGCAGTTAAGAGCACTGACTGCTGTTGCAGAGGACCCGGGTTCGATTCCCAGCACCCTCCTGGCAGCTACGAACCATCCTTAACTCCAGTTCCAGGGGAATATGAAGCCCTCTTCTGACCTCCACGGCATTGCATGACATGGGTGCACTCTCATACATGTAGATAATATACTCATACATGTAAAATAAAAATAATAAAATATTAAAAAAAAAAAAGAAATCTGCCCACCTTGGCCCTCTGAGTGCTAGGACTAAAGGCATGTGCCACCACGCCCAGCATTTTTAACCACTGAGTCGTTTCTTCAGTCCACTTTTCTTCATCTTAAATAGCTTACAGTTATCCAGTGACCTGAGGAATATCTTAGTTCTCTTTTCTAGTTATTTGTAACTGACATGGAGAAATAGTTTTGAATTTTAAGTTGAACTTTTCTGGCAGTTTTTTGAACTTCTGCTTCTAATACTCTGTAGTCTATTATTTTTCCCTTAGGTTTGTAACAGGAGGAGAAAGAGCCTCCCACAACCTCTTCCTCCTAATTTCATCTGAAAAGTCTTGTGGTACCTTCCTGCTCCAGTCTCTGGGTTCTAGTCCCTTCCCCAGTCATGTCCAATGACTTCTATCCCTGGACCCGCCATCCTGGACAGAGCAGACTCTTCTGCCTATGGAGAGGCCAGGGATGCTAGGCAGAGATAATGGTCATATACTGAGTGAATGTTGGGTGGCACTGACATGCCAGACAGAGGGACAGGGCTTGGTTCCATCAAGTGATCTCCCAAGGAGAGCTGGGGACACATACAAACCAAGGGGCTGGATCCTTTATGGTTAAAGAGCCTGTGCATACCACAAACAGGGTTTCTGAAGGGCCAGTTAGAGAAGATCTCTCTAAGAGAGGCCAAGGAGAGACTGGGGAAGAAGTCAGTTGGAGTTCAAAGTCCAATATATCCAGTCTTGAAGGCAAACTCTCCATTCTAAGGACAGATCCTTGCTTAAATTAATGACAGGAGCCAAGCTGATGGCACAAGACTGTAACCTCAGCACTTGGGAGGTTGAGGCAGGTGGATGACACCAGCTTGAGCTATACATTGAGACCTTGTCTCAAAAAACATACAAAAAATTAATTAATATTAGAAGGAAGGGCTGGTTAAAGTTCAGGTTCAGGCTGGAGAGGTGGCTTGGTTAGTAATGTGCTTGTGGCCAGGCATGATGGTGCACACCTTTAGTTCCAGCACTTAGGAGGCAGAGGCAGACGGATCTCTGTGAGTTCAAGGCCAGCCTGGTCTATATAGTGAGTTCAAGGCCAGGGGTTACAGGGAGACACTGTCTCAAAAAGACCGAAAAAAAAAAAAAAGTAATGTGCTTGCTACACAAGCATTGGGACCCGAATTCAATCCCTAGAACCCACATAAAAAAGCTAGGTGTGGAGGCATGCTCTTGTAATCCCAGTTCTGGGAAGGCAGAGAGCCACAGGTTCTAGTGAGAAATTCTGTCTCAAAAAAACAAAGTGGACAGTGCCCTGAGGAACAACACCCACAGATGACCTCTAGTCTCTACCCACAGCCACACACACACACACACACACACACACACACGCACACACGCATGCTTATGCAAAGTCCAGTTTCCATTGAATGTAAAAAGGAATGATCAATCAAACTAGGAAAAGACACAGAGGAATCTTAATTGCTAAATAAAAGAAATGTTCTGGAAAGGTCACACGCTATGGTTCCAGCTTAGACTTATGGAAAAAGCTGAACTACAGAGACAGGAAACAGAAAGAACAAGCAATTGCCTGGCTGGGCAGGAAGAAGGATGAGCAAGACATTTTCAAGGCAATGAACGTCTGTGTGATGTGGTGACAGTGGACATATCACTCTACATGTGCTCAAATCTGGACCTTCAGCAAGTGTGAAGCCCAGTGGCAACCCTGGATCTGTCTGTGTGTTCACTGTGCACACCAGCCCCTGGTAATGTGGCTGGGGAAGAAAGTGAATGTGAGAACTCCATTTTCTGCACAATTTTTATTTGTGAAAGAGCCTCATGCAGCCCAGGTTGGTCTCAAACTTGTTATATAGCTGAGGATGACCTTGAACTTCCCATTTCTGAGATTACAGGCATGCTTATGCAGTGCTGGGAACTGAACCCAGAGCCTCATGCATGCTAGGCTCAGCCCTGAACTCTGCATGATTTTTCTGTAAACCCAAAGCTGCTCAGAAAAATAAAATCAATTATTGAAAAAAAAACTATTTTGGCCAGGTGTGGTGGCACATGCCTTTAATCCCAGCACTTAGGAGGCATAACCAGGTGGATCTCTGTGAGTTCAAGGCCAGCCTGATCTACATAGCAAGTTTCAGGCCAGCTGGGACTACAGGGAGACCGTGTCTCAAAAAAAAAAAAGGAAGGAAGGAAGGAAGGAAGGAAGGAAGGAAGGAAGGAAGGAAGAACGAACGAACGAACGAACGAACGAAAGAAAGAAAGAAAGAAAGAAAGAAAGAAAGAAAAAGAAAAGAAAAACTATTTTGTAAGAGAAAGGAGTGCAGAAGGCAGGGGATGCGTGAGGTGGGTACCCAGGGCAAGACCTACCCCATAAAACCCCAGCAGGCCTAAGGCATGATGTTCCGCATGGTGTGGAGACTGTGGGTGCTGCTGCTATTTACGTCCTACTCTGAGGAGATGATCTCAGCCTACAAGGTGAGTTTAGCCTGTGCCCTCCCATTGCCCATACCCCTTGGAAGAAAGGCCTGTGCCAGCAAGAGGAAGCCAAGGCTTCATTGGAGCATCAGGTAGAGGTGCTGGAGCCCTGGATCATCTGGGCAGGCCCATCAGAGAGTGACTTGGGAGCACGGATAGTTAGTTGCACAATCATGAATGCATCTGAGGATCTGCACCCACCTGCTTACACTCTAACCTGCATGCAACCACATCTCTCAGTGTACTCCCAAGGACACAGCAGTCTGGGAAAATACTCCAGAAGGCAGAGAACAGTGGCTTCCCTGAGTTCTTCCATGGTTCCTTGCTGTGTGGTATGAGATGTGATATCCCTGGTTCCCTTTGCACACTTGGTTAAACCACCCACACCTGTCCTGTTGGTCTGTGGCTGCCTTCCCTCCCTGTGCCCATGTGGCTCCTCACTTGTCTCTGGCTGCAATCTCTTTAGCAGCAGCTATTCTGCCTTCAACTCTTAGTCAATAAACTTTTTTTAACTGCAAAGCAAAACAAAAAGTCTCCCTGGGTAGAAACCCCCATGGGGGGAATCTTCCAGTTTCACCTCCTGATTAGCTGTGTGACCCTGGGGAGGAGGTACTGTCTCTGAGCCTCAGTTTCTTCATCTGGCATCAGAAGTTCTGAGCCAGACTGTTTACAGCTCTTCCTGTCTGTGCCTGTTGCTCTGTCACATGTCCCTTCGTTGTCTGTGCCTTAGCTTACCCTCTGTGCACCTGGCCTATAACAGATGCTCTCTTCTCCCTCCTCCCCCTTCGCTTCCTGCCATCTACCCCATCTTCCCACCTCCCTAGATCAGACAGCATGTCTTGAGTTGGAGGATGGTTGACACAGGGAAGTCAGAGCTGGGGGAGGCGGTGTCTGAATGGAGAAGCCCTTCTTGGGGAAGGTCTGCAGACCTTCCCTGGAGTGGGTAAACAGAGTCTGGATGTTTCAGGGGAATGGAGAGACATGTGAACACAATCCTGAGTGTCAGAGCGACTGCTGTGTCACCAACAGCTTGAACCCACAGAAATTCTGCACCCCCCAGACTATGTTTCTGCAATGTGTGCCATGGAAGAAGGTGACTGGGGCCCTGGGTGGTGCCTAGGGAGGGGTAGAGACTAGTGGGGGACACCTTATCACCCCATTCCCACCTGCTTCTGGATGAGGTAGAGAAAGCGGGTCCTTGGAATGGCAGAGGAAAGGGAGATCCCCTGGTGAGGCAGACAGAAAAGAGTCCCTGCTCTCTCACAGCCCAATGGGCACCTCTGTGAAGATCACTTGGAATGCCACAGCAGCTGCTGCATCAGGACAGGATACAGCCCAAACAGATTCTGCTCTGCCAAGACCATCTTCCTGCAGTGTGTGTCCTAGCGCAAGGTGAGCCTGGAGCAAGGGAATTGACGTGGGACTGCCACATGGGGCAGGGCTCCTGGTGAAAGGAGGGGGGGAATGGCTCACTGGGAACCCAGTAACATCTCCCCAGCCAGAAGGGGACAAGTGCCAAAGTCACTCAGAGTGCTGGAGCCTGTGTTGCCTACCAGTCAGCGAGACCAGCCCCTCCCACTGCACACAGCGGACTGGGCTCCTGGCCCTGTGCCTACCGGTGGTGAGTCCCTGGCAGCTTGGGACAGATATATGCGGAGGGAGGGAGGCAGCATGTGAAACCAAGCCCTATGGACAGAGGTCAGGGTGACCGCCTGCAGTGGGTGTCTACCTGCAGTTGGTAAAGCAGAGGTGACATCTGGGACCTGGGGGTGGAGAGTGTTCTTGGACCAGGCACTGAGCCTTCTGGATATGAGGGAACAGGCCACAATATTAAGGGCCCATTGGTCCTACCTGGAGGGACCAGAGACTTAAAAGCCAGGAAGCTGGTGTTGAAACTGGTAGGAGCTGAGTTCAGGCCTGCAAGTGTGTGTGTGTGTGTGTGTGTGTGTGTGTGTGTCTGTCTGTCTGTCTGTCTGTCTGTCTGTCTGTCTGTCTGTCTGTGGAGGGAGCCACTACACCCACCAGGTGGAGAAGGTCTCCCAACCTTTCTCCTTTCCACCTCCTTTACCTTCTCCTGGGCCTAAGTGGAGCCAAGGGGAAGGAGCTCACAGACAAGGATTATGGGAATGGAAGCTGGCAGCACAGCTGTGTGTGTGCCCCAAGGGGCCTCATGACAGCCACTGGTGCCATGTGGTGGTGAGTACACATTTCATTGCAAAACCTCATAATGCCATCTGGCACACAGAGGTCCACAGGTCCAAGGTTAAGAACATGGCACCTGCCAGGAGCACCCGGCCTCCTAACTTGGTTACCACCTGGGACATCCTGGCATATGGCTGCCCCAAGGATACTTGGAGTAAAGGAAGGAGTTAGATCATCTCACACAAGGTGCTCCTGTCCTGGACAGGACTGCCATGTTGGTGCTGGTGGAATCAGGCTTGTGTGATTTTTTTTCTCCCTGACCCTGTAAGTTTCCTGATCTTTGTTGTCCTTTAGTGAATGAACACGAGACTGTGAGACACAGACCTGGACTGCAGAGAGCAGAGAGGCTCACACCCACCCTGTTCCCTTTCTGGGGCAGCCTCTGAAATCCAGAGGAATTAGAGCTGTCTGTTGCTTGCTGTTAACGTGGTCTCAAGTCCACTGCATCATAAGATGTTCCAAACCTAATCACTACATGTAAATAAACACTATCCATTAAATGAAGAAGTGTCTTGTCCATTATTGTTTTACAATAATAAAAGCATGGAAACCTTGTAGAAGCCCTGAAGACCATAGCCCAGTGGGGTCTGCTTAGCCCTGTGGCAGTGTTGGCCCTTTGGGGGACCGGGGAGTGTCTGGAGTGAAACAGAGGCTGGCAGAGTGCTAGGATGGAGACCCAGGCTGCAGCAGTGTTTTCAGAATTGCTGCTGCACCCCCTCTCCTGCACAGTCTCCATGACAAAGCTATGATCACATGTTTTATCACTGGAGATAAACATAAGCTGCCATCCCAATAGAAAAGTCTGTCCTGAATATGTTGCCTACAGCCCTAGCATAGCACATGCAAGTTCAGGACCTAAGGTCAGCCATGTTAGGCTGTTTTCCTTTTTCTCCTTCTCCATGATGAAATGCTGAGGTCCCCTCCTACCTCTTCTTTGATGCAGGTCCATCTTTGCCCATGGTTCTACTGTGGCTCTGTATGCCCATGCTGAGCTACTTTGGGGCCTGTGAACTTCCTCTGTTTCCCTTCCTGGTAAGCCCTCCATGGAAGGGTCCTTCAGCTCCACTTAGCTTCTGAATCTAACACCTGCTTTATGCCCCCACCTCCACCATGTTCAGTTACCCTGAATCTCTGCCATGCTTCACCTGGGCTGCTGGGCATCTGAAGGAGAGGGGGGAATCCCAATCTCTGGTCTCCTTATACTATCTGGTTGTGACTTGTGCACATCTTTCACTTCTCCTGTATATTGCTGAAGCTCTCTCTGGGGAGGTGACATCATGCAAAAGAGTATAGTCAGGGCCACCATAGAAGTTCAAGGTGTTGATGTCCTTTAAGAAAAATAACTCAGGGGCTGGAAAGATTGCTCAGTGGTTAAGAGCGCTTACTGCTCTTGCAGAGGAACCAGGTTTGATTCCCAGCACCCACATGGCAGCTAACAGCTGTTCATAATTCTAGTTTGAGGCATCTCACGCCCTCCGCTGACCTCCATGGGTACTACATGACACAGGCACATTTACACACATGCAGGCTATACACTCATGCACATAAAATAAAAATAATAAATAGAATATTTAAAAAAAGAAAAGAGCTGGGTGTGGTGGTACACACCTTTAATCCCAGGCAGGCAGATCTTTGTGAGTTCGAGGCCAGCCTGGTCCACATAGTGAGTTCCAAGACAGCTGGGGTTACAGGGAGACCCTGTCTCAAAAAGACAAAAAAAA